TAAGGCACGTAACTAGAATGGGAGAAACAAGGAATACACACCGATTTTTGTGGGGAAAGTTCTTGAGAAACATCCACATAGTAAACCAAAATATAGAAGGTTCCACACCATTGAAATGAACCACGTTACTTTGTTTTCTCTTATGATACACTCATATCTAGAGCAGACAAAATTATTGCCGTTTACATTTTGAAACTTTATGCCCTTATCATTGCTGTGATGATAGTTTTGAATTTCTCTGCTAAGGACTATTGTCACAAACGCCTTTATCATCGGTGATAATTTTAAATTTGTTTGCTGACTGATACTGTCACAGTAGAGCTCAGCCCTCAGGTCTTTCCTGTCGGACTTAACATTCGTGGTCCCTCCTCGATACGGGGCCTACAGTACCGATAACATGTGCGTCCTCGTGACTCCAATTTCCTCAAGACACGGAATACAGGAGATGAGCTCCATTTCCGTTTGCTAATGGCGACTGCTTGCCAGGGGTTCTTGAAATCACAAGGCAAGACGAGCAGTCAGTTCATCTTACCCCCTGAAGGCACCTCCCCGCAGATTGCTGTTCTAATTGACTTGAAAATAAATGCTGAAGTGTTTCCAAACATAGGCGCCATGTAATTCACTTTGTGCTGGGTGAGAGAGGATGGCATTCTTGAATTCTCTTCGTTTGGGGCAATTTAATGTTGCTTTAGATATGGCGTGTTTTTGTTTTGGTGGCCCAGTAATTGGGCATAAAGATTTATGAGTTCTTGTTTCGTCACTTGAACCGGAAACTGTGACTCAGCATGGCAAGGAAGGAAATTAGTGTTGAATATGTTTGTAGTGAAGCAAATAGAATTGAAACCTGCTTTAATCGTAAAAAGAAATTCCACGTTTTGCACAAAGCGTGTGTATTTATGTGATTCATACGATTCTCATAATAAACAGCCATATTCCCCTAAACAGCATTAACCGGTTTGGCTTTGTAGCGGAGACGTAATGTGTTTTCTGTGAGGTACGGACTGAATTGCTATATATTCTGCCCACACAGTGTATCTGTATGTTCCGTATGATTCTCACAGTAAACAGCAACTGTTTCCCTAAGCAGCATTAACCGGTTGGGCTTCCTAGCGGAGACGTAATTTGTTTCCTGTGAGGTACGGACTGAATTGTTATATATTACGCAGAGACCAGAACACTTCCAAATGCTGCTGTTTTCTCGCTTCTCGACACTTTACATCCTACACAGCGTACATTTGAGAGCCGAAACTGCTGTCAGTTTCTCCGTAAATTGAATCGTCCCTGATGACCCCTCGTCCATTTTTCGTCCGATTTTAATAAGAGTAGTTATTATATTCTCTCATTTTCAGTCGCGTTCGCAAAAGCGATAGGGCTCAGTCGGGCCGCCAGTATTTATGAAACAATTTGAAAAGCGCTGAACCGATATTCATGAAATTTGAAATTGGGGAGTTTTACTAAAAATTTCCCTTGCATACCAGTGTTGGTTATCTGGTTTAAAACAACGGACATTTTACATGGGGAAGAAGACGTGTTTCTGTGTATGTGGAGCACAGCTCGCTAAATATGCATCTGAATGGAAACGACGATAACATTAAAGTTCTGGGAAGGGACACATTATTATATCCGTTACTTCTTTTACGTACGTTTTTGGTTTTTCCATATAATTAAGCAAAATGGAAGCTGAGGTTGCATTTTCTTGCGTACGTTCCGAAGAAGCACATCGAATAATTAACAGTGACCTCGTGAAGATAACCCAAGTCTCTTATTCCCGATAATAATTAAACGAAGCGTCTTCCCGTCTAGATTTGTACGTCCTCATGTATATACTTATAACCCTAAATTTAATTACAATATAATTGATCGCACTGCCGTAGTGTCTTTCCTCGGCTGTATTATGGAAACCTATAACAGAACAGGCGCTTCAGGTTTTCAGCAGATGACGAAATTAAAAATTTGTTGAGTTTAGAGAGCTCTGAAATTATATTCTTTTGTTAATTTAATGTAGAGGCCCAATTACAAAATGAGTGAAGCATATTTAAAAATACATATATTGAGTTTCCCTTTAGTGGAATAACAGCAAACTCGGAAGTCATTATCGTATATACAAAATGTGATCCTGTAGTCCTGAAGAGGACGGAACTTGTGGATCAAGAGAGACGTAACGTAATGTGAAGAAAGAGAAGGAAATAAAGATAGTAAACAACTCTCTGGAACTGGGCCCTTCTTGAGAACCCGTCAGGGTCCATAACCGTGTTCACAAGAGCCCTTCACTGGTCCCTATTCTGAGCCAGATGAATCCAGCCCATATCACTCCGCCATATTTCTGTTAAGGCCCATCTTAATTTTATTTATTTAATTTATTTTCATGCATGCTATATTCTTAGCCAATCTCATCCTTCTTAACTCTATCATTCTAATTATACTCTGAGAAGGGTTCAAATCATGACGCCCCAACCTCTTAGCATTTCATTCGTTTTCGGTCCAGATATTCCCCTCAGCTTCCTGACCTCATACTTTCAGTTCATGTCAAGAGACTAAGTTTTAGATCCATACAAAACTAGGGACAAAATTTTATTTTTGTATGCCTTTAAGTAAAGATGTCGCATGAATGTAAAATAGAAGTAATCTGAAATGTGTCATATTTTTACATATTTTACAATTTCACCTGAACGCAGTTCGTTTTCGCTTTGACACGAAGGCGCAGTTGAATAGTTCTGCCGCAACTGTGAACCCGAGAGACGGAATCAGGCTGGCTGTATTGTGGCTATCTGCATTCGCTGGTGTGTGGACCTCGGTCACTCGATCACTCATAGCCCCATCCCCCAACCGCGTGATAACAAAGAGCATGAAGCACGAATAAAAAAGAAGGCAGCCAACAAAAAGAAAAAGATGCCAGTCACCAAGAAATAGAATTGGAACAAAAGACGTGCTAATGCGAATTCCTTTTCGTGTTATCAGTTGAAGTTGGCTTCTGTTCAATAAATGTGACTGTGCTAGTTAAAACAGATCAAGTCAGAGGAATTCACAAGTGACATTTCAGCACTGTTATCGGAAACTTGTTTAAAATTCTTCCAAAGTTTTTATTTTGTCTCGTATAGTAAAACTGTAAATGTGAAACCTAAGCCAACATATACCGCAGTCTCCAGTTTGCCGCCCATTTATTTCAGTGACAGTTTAGCCAATGAACCACTTTCCTTGCTAAATGGATTTTTTTTTCTGTGGCGCTACAGCCCCAGTTTGGGCCAAGGCCTACCTCCATGAAACTCTCCGTTTCACTTCGGTTTACTAGATCTTACACATTCGGTAGGACCCCTTGGGCGAGTGATCAGCTCGTCGCAAGGCCCCTAACTGTAGACAAACACAGAAAAACGCACACAAACATCCATGCCCTGAGTGGGATTCGAACCCACGATCCCGGCTTCCGAGCGAGCGAAGACAGTGCATGCCTTAGACCGTTCGGCTACCGTGACCGGCGCTAAATGGATTAGTCATGGTTAACAATATCCATTGGCCACCTAGGTCACCTGACTTAATTTTTATGAAATTACTGAAGTGACCGTACGTAGAGAAAACCAGAAGAGTTTCATTAATGTTAAAGTCGGTGGTATAGTATGATGAAAATTGTTTGAGTGCATCGTTCTTGATAAACCAGTTAATTATTTCATTACTGCCAGTTCATTAGAACTCGTGCTGTTTAAACAGAGAAAGTCTCCAATTTCCTGCGTTGGTAACACTGAGTCGCACCACAGCTCCATTACCTCGCAGCTGATAATCATGCATTGGCTGCTTATTGGAAACGTCGCACGTTTCTGCCGTGCCGGGAGCTGGCGTCGATGTCACTCGACATGTAGGAGCGGGCAAGGAAAGCACAAGACGGCTGTCGTCATCGGTAATGAAATTATTTTGCGATTTACTAACGGAAATGACCGTATTAACCTACATACGATGGACTCTCCTACCTGTGCAGTAGCCCATAATTTTATAGATATTTGAAGGAGGCAGGAATAAGACCCTGGTATGAACAGTGCCATCTTATTGGTTATGCTATATAGTTTGAAGACAATCTGACGTTTCGGTGGAACATATCGGAAGCTTGCTGTCTGATTCTGCCGATTTCTTGAATGTCTTACTCTTCGGCCCTGAAGAGTCCTCCGAAACGGGAGGCTCCATCCGAACTACGCGGTGCTGTACCCCAGAAGTCCGTGGTCTTGACTGTCGCCTATGTTGGAGCCTCAAAAACAGAATGAGGCCTGTCTGAAATATACGTGGATAAGGTTGTCAGAATGATAATATGTGGGATAGCCCCGGCTTTGTTGTGAGCACATCTCACACAGCAGCTTAACCGTCTGAAGCCTGAAGTCTGTCTGTAGCGAAACATTGATTTAAATTGAATTGCTCACACACAGCCACCCGAATGATCACAAACACTCGCTGAAAGTCAAAGTCATAGTCACATGAGACTGATGCTCAGTCGGTCAGTAAGTTCTTCATGATCAGATATTTATTACTGTTTGACACTTACGGTCTTGTTTCTTTGGGGCGCCCTCTCTGACGAAAGGACGGGTCTGTCTTTTGTATATGCTGCTGGTCCTTGCCAGGGCAGTCTTTCTCGGGCCCGAGTCCCTTGGGACTCGCGACCATATTTTACTATCTCAGGTTTGAGACTTCCATTTTCGTCGCCTCCTAAGATTCGCAGGGTCACGGTGGAAAAGAATGCTTTATCGGTTCTTTTCTCGACTGCCTTTAAAAGAAGCTAAGAACGATCGGGGTCGAGACTTGTACTCCTCGGTTCGAAATTTTCCAGTATTCCGGCTGTCATAACGGGAGATTTGCCTGTTTCTATCCAGTTTTCTATGTCAGTGCCGGCGTGATACTTGGAATCAAGTATACCACTGGACGCTGCCTAATCTGAGTTGGTCGCTATATGTACCGCAAAACCAACACATGCCAGGACATTTAATTTGAACCTAATTTGATCTCGTTTTAATTGTTTTTTTCAGAAATATGTCGTCGAAGCGGAAATCTCCGCCGACAAAATTTCAAGAAAGCGGTGGTTTGGTCACATCGGAGGACAACAGCACTACAATTCTGCCAGCTACAGTCAGCGTTTCGAACGCTTTATCTTCAGCAGGCGGTGGTGGTAGTGATGGCGGAGGTCTGACCGACATGGACGAAAGTAGCAGCAACAACCTGAGCGACGCAGGCGACGAGGATCGAACTCCAGTGTCTCAAGGTGGTAACGCTGCTTCTCTTTATAAACTTTCGGATTCATCTTCATCGTCGCCGGCGTCTGGAAGCGAACTGGAGGACTGTCCGGCCGAAACTCTGGAACCCTCACCACCGAACAAGAAACAGCGTTTGCTGTGCCCAACGCAGCAGCACCACATGGAGTACCACAACAACTCCAAGAGCAATCTGGTTCCTCCCCCTTCGTCTCTACTCCCAGCTCTGTCGGCCATTCATCTTCAGCAGGAGCATAACCCGTACCAGGAACCCGTGGACAGTGGTAACAGCAGGCGAAGAAGTCCCTCGGACTGTAGTTCGCCCACGCTGGACATAATGATGAAATCGGGGGGTGTTAGTAATCACAATAACAATAATAATAATAGCACGACTCATAATAATAACAGCACAAGTGGTTCGCATCCTGTCAAGAGGACTATGGATGACGTGCTCAAGAGATTAACCTCCAAGATGCACATAAGTAACGTGAGAGACGAGAAGAGGCCAACGCCAGCCAGCACGCCCACCGGCAAATCCCTCGGGTGAGTACCCACTTTATTCTTCCTACGCAGACTTTCGAATCATAGTGGTAACTATATGTACCAACTGCTTTAACATAAACTCTGCATTCTGTCTACAGAGTATATCTGTATGTTTCGTATTGTTCTCACAATAAACAGCTGCTTTTTCCCTAAACAGCATTAACCGGTTGGGCTCTGTAGCGGAGACGTAATGTGTTTCCTGTGAGGTACGGACTGACATTATATAGGCCGTATCATTAAAATAAACTTCAGGCTTCCCCATGTGGAGGCGGGTTCGAATACCTCCACCGTAGCCCTGAGAATCCTAGGGGGCGACGAAAAGGGAACCCAGTGCCTGGGAGTATAACTGGGTCACCCTCTTCCTGGGGGATATAAATACGGGGACCTCGCCCTCTAGGTTGGAGAGTCTCGAATCTGAGAACAGTACAACATGGTCATGAGTCCAGCTGGACTTGGACCTGAAATGACTTCACTGGCGAAGACCAGCAGCATTTGTAAACTGCAGACACGTCTTCTCCTCAGAGAGTGCACCCCACATCAGTAAACCCGCAGCTGTCTGACAGTAACAAGAATCTGGTCTTGGGCCGCAGTTTGGGGCTTGACACAAAGATGGATTGACTGACTATCCGACGGTCGTAACAGAACTTTGACTTTGACTATTAAAAGAGGACGTAATTTGTACATTTATGCCTAGTAACATAGGCGAGGTAATGTAATGTGATATAAGTAGGGAAAAAACAAAAATGACCCAGATAACGAAATAGAATTTTTCGCATCTTTGAGTGGCAAAGACGTTGGACCCTCTTGACACTTTTGCTGACAACTACAGGTAGACTGCAGACAATTGCCACTGACTCTCTTACTGATTGAAGTTTTTAAGTTGAAGATTAATTCACACATCGGCAGAAGCCCCCGTCTTCATTAATTGTTCTGAAAATCACAAGCGTCCGAAGGCTGTCACATTTTCGTTACCCTTTCGACATGGAGTAGGTCTGCCTCTACAGTGCTTTACTCTGTGCAGTCTTCAAACATAACATCGAGGTTGAAAAGACAATACACCTGCTTTGCGTTCGAGGGTTCCCGGTTTCAAATACCGGCCAGAACACTGAGAAACCTGCTTGCGATTTTACCCAGTCCCTCCCAAGTAAATTCCTGGATAGTGTCTCAAAATAGGCCACAGTAACTCTCCTGTGTTTTCCAACTTATTATTTACCATCACCCTATCGTTTACTGTCAGGCGTCGTTAAATAAATTAACGTTTCGGAGAAACCCTATGCTTCAGTCGTCAGGTTAGAAATGTAATCAGAAAAAATCATCCGAAACGTCGGCCGAAACGAAGAATACACGGTGCCTAAACCCAGAAGACGACTTTCTTCATTGTCATCGCCGTGAAAACCTCAAAACTTACATAGAAAAAATATACTTTTGCCTTCAATAATTATCCTCTCTTCGGACACGCGAAGATTATTGTTGTCTTCTGGGATATGAACTATTTTCCTCTTGCCAGTTGCTTGATTAGCTCGTAAGGGACACATCTAAAAAAGGAACATCAGAATTGAAATTTTCAGTTTGCTGAAGGTTGAAAATATACGCCGAACATTTTCGTTTGTAAATGCTGCGTGAGGGCAGAGATTGAAACGAGTAAGTATGGTACATTCCGTAGCATTTGTATCGCGTGAAACGCATAATACACGTAATTAGAGATAAAGATAATAAAGAAGTTGGAGATGAGTTCAAGAAATTTATTTTGTTTACCCAGAAGTCGGTTGTAATATAATCAACTGTATTAATGACACATGTGAACTTCGTCCTCTAGTGATGACAGTCTGCGAGCCTCCTCGAAGTGGGGTACACTGTAATGCCTGCTGGGGTGTGAACTCATGTACTCTGGAAGATACGTATAAATATTTCGAAGGAACTCGCATCCCCAAATCTTCAGTGTATAAATCAGATATTATACCCTGATGATATTATAATTAGTAGATTTCTTCCTCAACGTAGGTACTGCGGTAGATATGTGTAAAAGTTTCGAAAGAAATATTGCCGCCATCTTCAGGTTATAAGTCAAATTATTCTACTTTGAAGATGAAGTCTTTAGTTGTTTCTGAATGTATGGTATCTTTCTGTTAGTTGTAATTTTCTTCTTGCCTGAAGATGCAAACAGTACACATTTTCGGAAATAAACAATTTTCTTAAACTACTGCTTCTTGCTACAATAACTGTCGCTCCTTCTTCTCCCCCCTCGAAATAGAGTGTGTCTCACCTCTCCCATGACTTACTCTCTTCACCCACACTTCTACTATGCTACTTCTCTTGTCTCTTGCAGTGGCTCACAAAATTTATTATCTAACATCTGTTATTAGATTCCTTCCTTGAACACCCAGGCTAGTGAGCACTGCACTGGTCTTGTATGACATGCACGATAAGGGTGCACAAAATTTCGTCCTGGTATTCCTCCCGCACTCCACTTTTACTTTTTCTCTAACCTCAGACCTGAAGGATCGATACAAATTTCTTCAGTTTCAGAATTTACTTCCCACGTCGAGGCTCGAACGGCGGTCACTATGAAGGGCACAGTTTTCTCATATGCGACGCCATATAGTTCGCAGAGCGCCCGACGTTTCGGAGGAACGTGTAGAAGAGTAAGCCTAGCAAGAAACCAGTCGAGCTTACCTTGCAAGCTGCTTCTCCTGGCCGTTTTTGCTTGACATTCTCCGAGCTACACGGCATCACAAACCAGGAGACTGCGCTCTTCATTTTGACAACTGAAGAGCCTGGGTGCGGGCTTCGGAAACTGAATGTAGAGGCGTTTGTTTGATATTGTAGTTCCAGTAGGATTCCACAGTTACGCGCTAATTATCTTCGCTCCAAAGCGGTATCTCAGCAAAAAGAAGCTGTTTGAAAATGACGCCTACTGTATCCTTCTTCAGGGTAGACGATGTAGCCAGCAAGCTCTCCGAAACTTCGGTAGCTTTATATTTAATTTATTTAACGACGACGTGAGCAACTGAGACTCCATGTGATATAGTCCATATAGTCCGGTTGTAGGGTGATAAGGAATAATATTTTCAAAAGAATGTGGAAAGATGTGGTCATGGCCTGTTTCATACTACTATCCCAGCATTCGCTTTGAGGGTCTGAGAGTGAAGCATACAATCCTGTCAGTAAGTAAGTATCCCAACCGAGACGGAGGCAATATATTCCTCCGAAACGTCGCTACCCTTTTAGCAACGTACACGGCGTCACATCCATTTACTCTGTAAGAACATAATGATTTCGACTTGCAACAGGCAATGGACACTAAGGCGGATATTACGTTTTATTAGAAACGCTGAAGAATCGACTGACCTCTTATTAGAGGTTCGATGTTTCATTATTCAGCGCGACCTCTTGCTTCATAGTTGAGATCACTTGAGTAAATAGGAACAAAGTCTGACACAGTTATGGCTCTTACCAGGAACACGCATTTGTTCTGCGCTCAGAATGGATCTTATTGTTCTCCCAGACTTGATAACAAGGCGATTCTGCGCACCGCATCTGCAGGACTCGTCTTCATTATCCACCATCCGAGGCATCTGAAGACGCGTCATACCTTACAGAAGAATATACAGTCCTCTGTGTTCGTTCAGGGAACAGAGTCAAGTGCATTTCTAATAATGGTGTTAATATTGCCACGTGTATTTAGGGTCTTGACCAATAGTAACAGTTTGTGGATTGGATGACTGGATTTATTAACGCCCTCATTTACAATCACTCTTAATAAACACCAATTAAAGCGCTATCGCTTATTTACCCACTTCACAGATCACTAGAACACGTTAGCCGTTTCCTGGCAACGGTTTTGTCGCATGAACTATCACTTGAAATCGCTCTGAAGTCTCCTTGCCACTTCCTGCAGCTGCCAGTTCCGAAGACTCGACCCAGTTCACTTCCGACTACTGTTCTCTACTCCTACAACAGCTGTCAGCTTCGGAATTCGCTTCGCTTTGCACGGACTCCACAGAAAACACAGCTTATATTGTTGACGAAGCCTATTTACCGCGCCGTTGTTTACAAATGTATTCCCCATTGTTGTCACGCTCTTAAGCGGGAAGTTGTTTACCGGGCCGTTGTCTAGTAATGAATATGCACGTTACTATATCTATGTCGCTGTTTGACGACATTTTCAAAGATATTTTACGCACATAACAGTGTAGTTACTACTCTACAAGGGAATATAAGTTTGATTCCCTGCAGGGACAAGAGATATTTCTCTTGGCCACAACCACTTCCTTGTAAATTAGTTTCTGTTTATCATTCATATAGTACCCTGCTATTCAGTGGCTTACATTCGAGGTACTGACCGTCGTTAAGTAAATCACAAAAGGAATTCTCCACAATATGACACGGAGGCAATTCGTTTGAGATGTCGGGAGGATGCGCTGAACGGTCGCTCGACAGGGTCCTGACAGTTCTGGAGCGCGGTGTTGCCAAACCTAAGTATCAACATCAACGGTTACTATAACAATTCTCGGAAATCACGACAAGTCCCGGTGACTATTCTTGGAAAACACCATCAGTCCACTTTCGGCAGGGGCATATCATTAAATTCTTTCGCGACGAAATTAATGAAGATCCTTGAAATATTTACTGAATCGCTTTTATTTGACCTTGACCTCGACTGCACATGCTGTCACGTATCCAGGTAACGCGACAGGAAGCTAATGGGTTCCGGATAAGTTGATTACAATTACCCAAAAATCAGGTCTCCTACACGTTGCGACCCGACTAGTCTGACGTGTGCTGGTTCTTAGCTGAGTCTTCTGTCGCCTGGTGTACTCTTGCTTCTCTCCTCCAGTGTGCTGTCGTCTCTTGTCTTCACTTCTGCACTTCTGAACTTCACTTCTGTGTCCGAATTGTCGCTTCCGGCTTCCTTTTGTACCTGCTAGGTAGTTGGGAGACCGCCTCTGTGGTCTAGTGGCCAGCGTTCTTGGCTAGTGATCCAGAGGTTCCGGGTTCGATTCCTGACGCAATCAGATTTTTTTTTTCTGAGAAGGAGTGGGTCTGGAACGGGGTCCACTCAGCTTCGTGATAATTGAGGGGATATATCAAGGAAATAGCGGCTTCGGTCTAGGAAACTGAAATCAACGGCCGTTGGTATTTGTTGCGCTGACCACGCGACGCCCTCTATCCGCAAGTGTTGGCACTAAACTTCGCCGACAAGCGGCGGTCGCTCGGTCGGTACATTTCGCTTGCGGACTGAAATCACGGAGTTTGTTTTAGGCCGCTGGGATAGCAGACACCTCCTTGAACATTTCTGTTTTTTTGTTTCCATGGTAACGGTCTGCCTATGTACGCGTTTATAATTGTCACCCAGACAACGATGCATTCACTGCTCCCTGCTGTAGCAGAAACATGTTACGGAATCGTTGGCTGGCAATGGACGCCCGCTCTGACTCCGATATTCCGGCTTTCAGGCGGCACGTCACAATACATTCTAGGTTCTCACAGCGGTCACTAGGAAGATTTTTTTATCTTCCAATATTTTATTTTTTGTCGACCGTTTACGGCCTGTGAGTGTCTGGAACGTTCATCGTCGGCTGGCAAGACGAGTCATGATTGATGAATTGTAAAGGATGTGAAAGGACGCAGCCTAAGGAAGGACTGAGGAAAACCACAAAAATAGCTGAGGATAGTCGATGTTACGGCGAAGACCTCACTCCTGAACGTTACTGCTTAACGAGCCTGTTCCGCTCTCTGGGATGTCACGTCGTGTAAACCAGTAGACCTTTCCGACGTTTCGGAAGAAAATGTCTTTATTCATTCTTCAGCCCTGAAGATGGAGGCATGAGACCCCTTCGAAACGTTAGTTTAGTCCCTTCCTAAACAATGAACGCAGTTTCTGTAAGACTCTGAACAAGTACAGGGTGATTCATCGACAGGTTCATCTATACAATTCAGATCTGCAATTCCTCAGGTGGCTAGGCGCTGGTGTCACACTATGGAGTGCCGGGTTCAGTCCCGGGTGCCTAATTGTGGGAGACAATATTGACGAAATGAAACTGGAGAGGGGAGGGTTCTCTCTGATTCTCTCGCCTTTCCCCATTTAATCATTATTTCACCATTGCTCTGTACTCATTTATGACTGCTTCCTGAGGTGTGCGATAAGCTCTTACCAGGCAGCACATTATCATATCCTTGGTCCGTAATTCTGGGGCATTACCCTGAGAAGATACTTGGCTGGCTACGGACTGAGAAAATTTACCTTCCGTGTTAAGAACAGTGGGAATATTCGCAGTAAGTTTACCCGGTATCGTGACCTGTCGTATTTCATTTTACGCTCACAGATGTCGACACTAAAACACCTGTGTTTGCCACCCGTAATTCTCCATAGATGGAGACTCAGCCCCACACGTGTGACGTCTTCCTGTGGCCGCAGTGTGACCATTGTGAGGCTCTCCTGGAGCCCGAATGCGTCACCTCGGGGGGCTGATAAAGTGGCTTGAAATACGCCACGACCAATGCCCTCCATCTGAATATGCAAGTTGGTGGCCAAGCGTTTTGTATGATACCGATACGAAAAAGAATGTGAAGGTGATTTGGGTGGAGGGAGTGGTTGCAGTAATGAGAAATACCGTGAAGATGGAGACAGAAAGTTTCCTGCGAAATGTTGGCATCTCGAGTTTTGGAAGTGATTGGTTCGAATCTCGGCAGGGATATCGGTGATCATGAACGGTAATTTTCGATGTTTTTCTCAGTCTCTTCAGGAAAATTCCGGGTTGGGACCTCGATTGTTCCAAGACCTACTACTACTACTACTACTACTACTACTACTACTACTACTACTTCTACCACCACCGCGTCATTTATCCGGCATGATTGTGAAAACAATTTTTTCTTTCTCTGTACTTTTATTGGGGCACGCGATAGCGTAGTTGATTGAGGCACTATGCTACAAGCCGGAAGGTTGCGGGTTCGATTCCCGATGTCCAGCAGCACTATGGCACTGAGGTCGACTCAGTCTCTGAGAGACATGAGTACCAGGAATCTTGCTGGGGGCTAACGTGCGGCCTGTGCGTAAGGCTGACCTCACCGCCATCTGTGAGCCGATTGTCTAGAGAAAATGTGGGAGCTTCGACGTCTCACAACCCTATGGGCCTCCACGGCCTGTTACAGGGATAGCTTTACGTTTTTTTACCTATAATTTTATTTCCTTCCTCATTTCTTCCTCATTATTTTCCCCAGTCTTTTATTTGTCCACTCTGTTGTCATTCCTTTCCCCCTGCCTTCCTCCCTCTCCTTTACGGTGAAGAATTTCGCTCACCCATGTTTTCCCTGTTCTTTATCGCGTATGTATCGTTATTTCTCGTGCCCGTTACTTACCCGTCCTTCGCGGTTTCTCGCCCCATGTGTCAGTTGCGGTAGAGAGAGTTTCGCTTCCGCGTGATGGCGTTGCGGTCGAACGCGATACGACTTTGCATTCTTCACGTAACCAGCGGCCCCTTGTCAGTACGGCACGGCGCACCATGTGATCGCGGATGCTGGCCACCTCCAGGGACTGGGGGGAAGAGGGAAGCAGGGGTGGTCTGTCGGAGTTCGGGCTGGACAGGGGGCTGAAATATTACATAAGTCCGGGCCCTCTTAGACAGGCTGTCATTCCAGAAGAAGAGCTCTGCTTCTCGAAGTTATTATTATTAGTAGTAGTAGTAGTAGTAGTAGTAGTAGTAGTAGTAGTAGTAGTAGTAGTAGTAGTAGTAGTAGTAGTAGTAGTAGTAGTAGTTGTAGTAGTAGTAGTAATCATAGTGGCAGCGCGGTTGTCGCCTGCACAGACACTGAGATCGTGGGTTCCAATCCCGCTCGAGGCATGGATGTCTGTGTGCGTCTATTCTGTTTGTGCTGTTCTGCCTTGCGACATGCTGATCCCCCGTCCAAGGAGTCCTACCGACTGTAAAACGTCAGGAAACTGAAAAAGCGGCCAAGGCCCAAGAAAGGGCTGTAGAGCCACAGATAGATAAATACACGTAGTTAGATAGGTGGTGGTAGTAGTGTTAGTAGTAGTAGTAGTAGTAGCAGCAGTAGCAGTAGCAGCAGTAGTAGTAGTAGTAGTAGTAGTAGTAGTAGTAGCAGCAGTAGCAGTAGCAGCAGTAGTAGTAGTAGTAGTAGTAGTAGTAGTAGTAGCAGCAGTAGCAGTAGCAGCAGTAGTAGTAGTAGTAGTAGTAGTAGTAGTAGTAGCAGCAGTAGCAGTAGCAGCAGTAGTAGTAGTAGTAGTAGTAGTAGTAGTAGTAGCAGCAGTAGCAGTAGCAGCAGTAGTAGTAGTAGTAGTAGTAGTAGTAGTAGTAGCAGCAGTAGCAGTAGTAGCAGTAGTAGTAGTAGTAGTAGGGTTATCCTACAAATGAGATGGAAGTATTTGGACGTGATTCAAGATCAGAATAGGGACCAATGGCGGGCTGTTGTGAATACGGTAGCGAACTTTCTGCGCCTACAAATTGTAGGACAATTCTTAACACGCTGACAGTGGCCGAATTGCTTTCTGCGTAGGATTTGAGGTTCTGTGGGCGGTGACTATGAAGCGAACAGTGTTCTGAAATGTGACGCCGTGTAGTCCGGTAGGAGTTCACTAACATTTCGGAGGAACATACTGCTTCCATCTTCGGTGTCGAAAGAAAAGTAAACCTTGCTTCAACTGATTTCTTGCTTGGCTTATCCTTCGACCCTGAAGATGGAGGTGATATATTTGTTCGAAACGTTCGCGTCTCTCCTAACTACACTGCGCTATGTCCCAGAGGAGCATACTGTTATCAATGTCTTCATGAAAATGTTGGTCCACAGCGCCGGTGAGCAGCAGTCCGAGGCGACGCCCAGCGAAGCCGGCGTCAATAGCACCGTAATGGATGGGGCTGCCGTGCTGCACCAGGCGCTCGCCGGGGAGACGTTCCTGGAGAAGGAGCGACGCTTGTCCGAGATGATACGACAGCTGCAGATGTTGAGGGAACAGCTGCTGAGCCAGCAGGAGCTGCAGACCAAGGTAGGGACAGCAGCCGCTTACGAATACCTGGAGCTGTACTTCCATTCCCCCATACGTCGCCGTGGTAAGATATTTAGTCTGAGACAGAGACAGATTTGTGTATTATGTTGGGGGGCACGAGGTAGCGTAGTTGGTTCAGACAAAATGCAACAAGCTTGAATGTCACAGGTTCGATTCCCGATGAGGTCATTGATTTCTTTTCTATTTACCTAATCCTTCCAGCCGCACTATGGCCCTGGGGTAGACTCGGCCTCTAACATAAATGAGTACCAGGAATCTTCCTGGGGGTAAAGGGCGGCCGGAGCGTAAGGCTGACAGCATCACCGCCACCTTTGAGCCAGTTGTCTAGAAAATGTGTGAACCTCGACGTCTCACAACCCTATGGGCCTTTACAGTCTGTTACAGGGGCAGTTTTACTTATTACCCTTCCTTTTGCATGCGTTGAGAATTCTAGAGGAAGGCTTGTCATTTTGTGACGTAAGATTTCCAAATATTAACTTTCCCGCCTTCTCTCATATACATCTCACGAAGTGATAACACTGAGGCCGAAGTTTAACTCCATCTCTCTCGGATAACACGCGCAAATAGCCACTCGTGTACGGTCTCCTTTCTATAGTATATTGTGCCTACACTGTTAACAAGAACTGAACGCTCGTTCGGGACCCTGTTTCGTCACTTCCTGTTTGTGTAGCGTGTTAACGATAGACAGTTCGTTGCTATAGCAACAAGAGATTACACAATGCCATTTACAAATCTTACGATTACAGAACATTTTCAGCCTGTATGCGTAGGAGCCGGGATGGCTCTGTCGGTATAGTGACGGGCTGCTGTCTGGACATTCGGGGTTAGAACCCCGAGAAGTTCACGATTTTTCTCTTCTCCCAACGTCGTGTCCAATAGGTGTCGGGAGCTCTTTCATGGGGAGCAAAGCGGCCGGATCGTGAAGCTGACGACTCACGTCCGTGTAGTGCTGAGGTCAAATATGATAAACCTATACCTCCACTCCCCCCTTAAAATCAAAATTGCCCATTTTCTGGTGAAAATCTTCAAGATCGAATTCAGAAATGATCTCTTCACCTGTTTAGGCGTCTCATAAAAGAGCACTTCCAATGGACAGACATGAATTCCAAGTTTGGCGTTCTTCTTTACGTTGTATAGAACGCCTGAAATGTCGTAAGTAATGAATCATACAAGGGGGGGACTGGCGCGAACAAGCAATGCGAGTATAGGGCCCCGCCCCCCAGCCCCGGGTTCGAAACATCCACAAACGTTTCTGTAGCGAAATAAACAGACCGCGTGGAACCTCGGGGTCTGCTTTTCCGAGAATCTTTTAAGCATGCTTGAATATTCTTCTTGTTTTCCTGTGCGTGCGCACAGCTCAAACATCTGGGCGCCGCCTTCACGCTGAGTCACTGCTAGAAGGCCACGTTTCGATTCCCGGAAGAGGCAACATATTTTCTCCTCACCACTGCGTCCAGACTGACTTTTTGGCTCACCTTCCACCCTAAGCATGGGTCAATGGGGGCTCTTGCTCTCGGAGCACACCGTCTGAGTAGATTAAGAGTAAGTGGAACTGTACCTCCACGATTTCATATGTTTTTAAGGACAGTGATAGGTATTTGTTAAGCAAAGCAAAAGGATATAGGGATATTTCAATAGAGAACGCAGATGATTATTTGAGGGGGGGGATAATGGGATGATATGGACCTTCATAATTTATACTCAAAATCAGCTATTGTTAGGATGATAAAATCAAGGAAGATGAGATGGATAAGGCATGTAGCACGAATGGGATCATAAAATGTCCTACGTATAGAATTTTTATCGGTATATCTGAAAGGAAGAGGGCTCTCGGAATAACCACGCATAGATTGAAGGATAATATTAAAATGGATCTTACAGAAGTAGTGTGTTAAGGTACTGAAATCGTCTTGTTCAAAATAGGGGACCTGTGATGATCTCATTATGATTTCTGATTCCATACAGAACGGGCAGTATCCTAAATAGTTGAGTTACTGTTAGCTTCTCAAGAAGTATGCCTGGCTGGTACGTGATTGTTCGCTTCCACAGTGCCGCTGGTTGCTATGACAACGCGAACCCGATCTCCATTCCAGAGCAGCCTCTGTTCCGTTCCAGCAACACAAGGGCTCTCTTTGTTTCACGTTTCTCAGAAAGAGTTTCTTTAGAGCTGCAACTTTGTGATCCCCAGTTGTATCAGCCTTCAGTGGCTGTGCGGCTTATAAACAAATGTATGTTCTGTTAGTTTTCATTATGAATATTTGAAGAGGAGAGTGTATGTATATGTGCACATGGCCCTGCGTCCCTCTGCCGTCCTCACAAGCACTGCCTACAGGCACCTACAGCGCGCGTTTACAGACAACAGAGGCGCGGAGTCTGTATTGCCGGTGTTCGATTCCCGGCACAGGCAAGAGAATTTTCTCCCCACCACCCAGCCTCTTGTCCGATGGATGTCGAGAGGCTTTTCCCCAGGAGTAAAGCGGCTGAGACGTGAAACTGTTCACTTATGTCTATATAATGCCGAGGTCAAGAATGGTGGAGCTATATCTCAGTTTCACCATACGTCTCCATGATTTGCTTGATTAAGTAAAGGGACGGACCGTGCTGAGGGGTTCAGTTGTCGGATTGTCATCTCGAATACCCGGGTTCTCTCCCGTATTCTTTAGAATTTAATTCGACGCCATATTGTCTCTCGTCATTAAAGTGATAACAGACGGACAGAATTCGCTAATAAGCGTAGATGTTATCTTCCCTTGTTAATCTGGGATTCTAGTTCAGTAGCCGGAGTTAAGACAGTTCGGGGCGTAGGAATATTGCGTATGAACTTTCTCGCTTGGATCGGAACAGCTTCATGTCAGAGAGATGACAGTTCCCATACCAACACGATACACAGACTTTGGTTTCTTACTTCTCTGTGTATTCGAACGCGATAATGTAGTGTCATGCTCAAGCGAGATGGTCCTATTCTTGTGTAATCGGTGCAGATTGTAAATTCTGTCACTGTTCTTGCATCCTTCGTAATTAATTTGAAGGACACAGTAACTGTCAGCTTTATGTCTGCAAATTTAGTTAGCTCCACCACACGTTTCGGTCACTAAATGAACCCATCTTCAGGGAAATGTACTCGAAAATTACCTATAACAGCAAATTAACTTAATTTAATTAAATTTATTGTTTTAATTACTGTTTAAATTCCTGCAGCAACATAAAATTAATATGAAAATAAACCACTTCTCAATATATAGACTTATAAAATTAGATATTAAATGATAAAGGCGATACACAATGTGAGCCTACATATAAAGGATCCCTAAAGGAGGCCCATATACACATTTAAGTCAAAATCGTTGCAACAAATATACAAACAANTACCCTTGTCAGATCTTATAGTGATATAAATTGAAGTTAAATTTTCATTTATTCCCATTCAGATTCCAGCATATTATCATAATAACGTTTCATCTCAGCCCGTTAGATCCAGTCCACACACTCTTTAAGTATTTTCTATCATACTAATTTTAATATTGTACTTCCGTCTATCCATAAGTAGGCCTATCGGAAATTCCCTGTGTTCTTAATGTGATCCGACTGACGTGTAAAGTACAAATTACAAACCTCATCTCCCTTAATATTTCATATGAACCCAAGAATTTTTTTCATACGCATTAGAAGTTCGTCTATCCGTCCATCTGTAGCTCTACAGTCGTTTTGTTGGGACTTTATCATATTCATATTCTGTAGAACTCCCTAGGCTGGGGGTCAGCCCGTCACAAGACCGCGACGTACACACACAATAAACGCAAACATACATCCATGTCTTGAGTGGGATTCGAACCCGCAATCCCAGCGTTCGAGCGAACGAAGAAAGTTCATGCCTCAGACCGCGCGGCCACTGTGATCGGCTTAAAAGCTGCTCATACTTTTCGTTAATAGATTTACTAAATCAGAATAAAAATATCTGTTATTCAGTAAAACACGGCCTGGCTCTATGTGTTGGAAGATTAAAGTTTTAGAGCCTACAGTTATTTTTTTATTGCAGTGGGGTGGGACTAAGTCCCTTGTACTGCGGCCACTTCTGGCCTATTGTACCAGCCCCAGATGATAGGTGAGGGTGATTGTGGAGCAATTGGTGGAATGAAGATTGGCAGGGGAAACCGAAGTACTCGGAGAAAACCTGCCCCAGCGCCACTTTGTCCACCACAAATCCCACTTGACCAGACCCGGGATCGAACCCGGGCCGCCGCGGTGGGAAGCCAGCGACTAACCGCTTGAGCTATGGCGCGGTCGAGCCTACAGGTAACTATATAATCGTATACCAACTGCTTTAACGGGGAAAATAAATCCACATTCTGCCCCCACGGTATATTCATGCGTGTCGCATGATTCTCACAATAAACAGCGACTGTTTCCCTAAACAGCATTAACGGGTTGGGCTTTGTAGCGGAGATGTAATGTGTTTCCTGTGAGGTACGGACTGAATTGCTATATATATTATGCCAAAGCAGTGTATCTGTATGTTCCGTATGGTTCTCACAATAAACAGTGATANGTAACTATATAATCGTATACCAACTGCTTTAACGGGGAAAATAACTCCACATTCTGCCCCCCACGGTGTATTCACACGTGTCGCATGATTCTCACAATAAGCAGCGACTGTTTACCTAAACAGCATTAACCGCTTGGGCCCTGTAGCGGAGACGTACTGTGTTTCCTATGAGGTACGGACTGAATTGCTATATACGATTATTCTGCCCACATAATGTATCTGTATGTTCCGTATGATTCTCACATTAAACAGCGGCTGTTTCCCTAAACAGCATTAACCGGTTGGGATTTGTAGCGGAGACGTAATGTGTTTCCTGTGAAGTACGGACTGAATTGCTATATATTCTGCCCACACAGTGTATCTGTNCCTGTTACTCTTGTAAGAAGGGGTTAATAACTATGGAGAGCGATGACTTGTTGACAGATGAAGAACG